CCCGGCAGGAGCGCATCTGAAGAAGCACCGAGCCATCATTGCATGCGCCATCATCTGGCGAGTGTTCATAAGCAGGAGACCGATGATTTGCCTATATCTCTTCCTTGGCAACATTCCACCACTTTCGGCATGTAGAACTTTAGGAATGCGCTGGGGCACAGTGGCGGACATTATGTGGTGTCGGATCCAATGCAAGTCTTTGCGTCGTGCACTCCGGCTGATGCCTCCAGAAATTGTCTTGTGCTCGCTTTATTCATGCATGAAAATTCCCGCGTGCTCCCCATACCACTTCGCGGACCGCGTGCGCGAACTCTACCCAAGATGGGCCATCAATTTTTCACACATGGAGGCTCCGGCTCCGAACAGCTCTTCTTGGCTTGCCTCTCTTCCTCCGCCCTCCTCTTCATCCGTCAGCAACGCCACTCCCTGCATCTTTCGGACTGACGTCGCATCCAACTGCACTCCGCTGGGACGGATGCTCTGCGCTATGGAGGATGGGTGCCTTTGGAGTCAAAAGAACTGCAACGGCCCAGCCTTTAGCAGTTTAACATCAACAACACCCTCACGCACGCCACCCAACAGTCCAAAACGCATTGTTGCGACTCGGTTTCGCCCTTGCCCTGACGCCAAACTGGAAGAAGACAGCTGCCAATCCCTTTCGCCGCGCCGAGGAGAAGCCAGAGTGTAGAGACTATGCACATGCAAGCAGTGACAGCAGCAGCAAAGTTGCTGCTGCAAAGCACATGCCCCTGAGCAAGCATGGTACTAAAGACCCCGGCATGTGCAGGGTGGGGCGTAGCCAAGGGTGGGGCAGAGAACTGTCGAAAAGCGTCAAGGCTGTACAATGGCTTGGACCAAGCGATGCAACAGTCACTCAGTGTGTTCAGCTCAACAGTTGGTCAAAAGCTCAGGCTACATACGGCCTCCTGCAGTCTGAGATGCCTGCTTCTGCCACCCTCAGACAAGCAACAATAGCCCCTTCATTGTTGCGACTCGGTTTCGCCCTTGCCCTGACGCCAAACTGGAAGAAGACAGCTGCCAATCCCTTTCGCCGCGCCGAGGAGAAGCCAGAGTGTAGAGACTATGCACATGCAAGCAGTGACAGCAGCAGCAAAGTTGCTGCTGCAAAGCACATGCCCCTGAGCAAGCATGGTACTAAAGACCCACCACTCCAGCACTGGTAGCAGCCGCATGGCGGATGCAGCCGCAAATTGAGAATCGCATCTCAGCCATCAGGAGCCAAGACACTTGCGGGAGAGAATGAGGTCACCGTTTATACTATAGAAGCCAGAGGCCCAGCACCGCAGCATACAGAAGTGGCCAGCACGCTCCCTCGCCAGATGATGGGTGCCCAAAGCACTCTCCGCATCAATAAGCGGGTTCGCATCATATCCCGTGCAGTGGCAACAGCTTTCCAGGCCCGGTTACCACTGTCGAGCGTTGGCATTCTCCAGCTGTACAATGAATTCCCAAAACCAAACTCGATCAGCACAATCCCAACAGACTGGAAAGACAGAACCAAACTATCAGGGCGGCACGAGTTAACGATTTCCATTCCCAAAATGCAGGTCCCGGCTTGCCGAACGGCTGTCAGGAAGACTTCACGACACCCCAGCCGTTTGTCAACAAGTGCAAGGCCATCGACACCAAGCACACGAGTGTCTTGACCAGTTGCAGAGCAGAACAAACCCACCAAGCGCTGGAGGCCGTAGCAGCATGGCTCAAGCCCAGAGAACTGTCGAAAAGCGTCAAGGCTGTACAATGGCTTGAGCCAAGCGATGCAACAGTCACTCAGTGTGTTCAGCTCAACAGTTGGTCAAAAGCTCAGGCTACATACGGCCTCCTGCAGTCTGAGATGCCTGCTTCTGCCACCCTCAGACAAGCAACAATAGCCCCTTCATGGCGATCTTGCAGATGGACAAGGCCACAATGGACAGCCGGAGAAAGCCAGCACCGGGGAAAATAGCCCGCGATGAACTGTCTTCACTTTTGCTCACGGGCGCAATAGTCCCCAGCTCCAGCACGTGAGGAGAAGGCACGGAAGTTGGAGGCCATCATCTGTGACCGATATTCACAGTCACGCAGTTATAGAATATAATATATGCACACCGCATGCACCCTACACTACCTACACTGCTGTGACGCTTTGCACCTTAGCTCCTTTGCCCCTTTTCAAGGTGAAGTGGCCACGGCGCTGAGATGGAAGTTCGGGAAGGCGTGGGGCTGAAGTCTGATGTGTGCTTGGGCGTCAGTGCTGTGTGCACGGCACGTGCAAGCTTTCCTCGCCACAACAAGGCCGCGGGCCACAGCGCTAGAATGAAGAAGAAGAACCCAGAACACATCCGCCGTTGCTACACGAAGCAGAGTACGCCCACACACGAACGTACTGCGAGGGTCATATAGTCAATCTTAGCCATGTCCACGTGTCCTTCAAGCCACGCAGTAGGCACGGAGATTCACAAACGAATGGGCGGTCAAACGGATTGCTGCAAGGCGCATTGCCTTCGAATTCACGGCGCATGGATTCAAAGCAGCACGTGGAGCATGCTGCTCCGTGATTTTTGCAGTACGATGGACACATAGCGGATGTCTGAGGATGTTTAATTAATGGATGCGAAGCAAGTCACAGCTGAACGAAGGGGAGGGGAGGTACGGGAGATCATGGGAGTATGGGAGTGGGGGCCAAAAGCAGCAGTGACAAAGCAAAGGTCCCAACTGAAGGGCAACACATCCGCTGAACACAAAGATATAAGGAAGCATGTCCAACAGGGGCTCAGGCCCGTTCAGGCCTGCTGGCATGCTGACCCTGCGAGGAAGTGGGTGGTGGCCCTCGTCCATAACCTTCGCTGCGGCTAAGCTTCAACAGCAGGCTGAGGGTTTCGGACATAGGGCTCGATACGCCCAAAAGCAGCGTTGTTTGTCAGAAGTTTGTAGCACGCGAGAAATAACACAAATAGTGAGACACCTCAGGAGCAATCGTCAGCGCTTCGATCACCTCGGCAGCTCAGAAGTGCTAACACCTGCCGTACCAGAAGAGATGCTAGCTGGGACAACAGTTACGGGCACCAGAGAGTACGAAACACAAGGAGACACAAAGGGGCACAAACACCCTTTAACAGCCTCCTCTCCAGCCCGCGGCGCAATGCTGAGCAGGGAGATCCACTTCCTGGGCACTGGATTCCCCGCATAAAGGATATGCAGAACTTCATTGGAGACAGAACGACCACTAGGAGCTTCCATGTAAGCTAATCAACAACAACGAAACTTTCACTTCGACATCCTTTCAGCTCGGTGACTGCAAGCCCTCAGCCGGAGAAGTGACCATCTCCTTCGGGCTGCGAGAGGCTTCCGTCGGCGTCTAGACGGAGAGCGCGGTATTGTACACGTGATACTTTGTGATACCCTGAGGCAGGCAAAACCCTCAGAGCCAACCTTGGACAGTTGCTCTGCCCACGCATCGTGGATCCTTCGGATGGTCGGCAGTGGATTTGGAATATGCACATGAATATATACATATGTATGCATATATGTATATATATATATGATACCCCACCTTTTTGCCCATACTGTTCCCTGCCGGTGGCAGTCAGGGATGTAGCTTTGGGGTGTAAGGGTTAACAATGGAATACGCTCAACTGTCCCAATAAAACTCACAAAAACCAATCTTGTCAAGGTCTCCAGGGCGAAGATTGGGACAGTTCAGCGTTTTTGCATGACTGGAAACAAGATTGGGACTGCACAGCACTTCAGCCTCTTCAGGTGCAGAACACGCTGTACGGTCCCAATGGTGTTAGGTACGGAGGTGCCAAAAGCACTGTACTGTCCCAAGGTTTTGGAATGCAGAGGCCGTACTGTCCCAATGTTTTGAGGCCTCAGATGCAGAAATGCCGTGATGTCCCAAAGTTTGCGGTTTCCAGCTCTGGAGACCCCCAAAAGATCATTTTTGGAGCTTTTGGAACAGTAGTGTGGCTTTGAATTCAAAACCTCATAACACTGGGACGGCACAGTGTTTCGGCCTCCCAGACTTTCCAGATATTGAGACAGTAGAGGGTTTTGGCCGCCCAGCCCCTCTCAATGGCTGTGCTTCTAGATCACCAAAACAAAGTTTCTAGATGCTGTCACAACCAACCCAGTTCAAATCACTTAACAACCAACCCAGTTCAAATCACTTAAATGAGAACTTGGGGGTACTAACGTCAAAGTAGTAAGTGTGCCATCCGAACTTAACAAACGAGGTCGTTTTTTTAACTTATACATCAACTTGCCTTTCAATTCAACGTAGCTAGTCCCTGAGTACAACATGAAAAACCTGCCCCTGATTACAACAGCTATTTGGCGTGTCGGTTGTCCCAGTAGCTGTCCTTCATTCTCGTCCAATGTTTCCAGACAGTGTAACAATAAACGAATACTTGCCAGCCGGTTGAATTAATCAAATCAAATTAAGTGAACTGTTTACAATTGAAACTTGGTGCGGATAGCGAATATGATAAAGAGTATGTTTCTATAGGTTATAAATAGTGTCTCTGCTTTTTAACTGATGCTACTAGCCGTTGGCTTTTACTTTAATCGGCCCATGCGTATTGGATAGTATCTATTGTTTAAACTGATGCTAGTATCTAGCTTGAATGCAGCATGTTATATCAGGTCAGTTCACTCCGAAGTGCAACGGTAAGGCATTCAACTAATGTCGCTAGTATCGTAGGAGATCAAGGTATCTCGCCTCCACTACGGACTTCCTGGCAGCAAGAAGGAGGTACAAACAAGTAGAAGCTGTTCTTGTGATCTCTGAAAATGGAGGTTCAGATGCCGGAAAAGGTGCATCTCAGCAAGAAGCCGCATCTACACAACAGAATTTCATCCCGATATGTCGAGATAAGTCGAAACATGGGCGCATACATATACGTGTTTCTATTTACGTACTGACTTCTTTGTACTTTCACCGTGTGTCGGTACAGATGATTTATCTGTCTTCCCAAGCCTACTCAGCAACATGATGCCGATCACTGATGCTGAGCCGCGTGCTTGTTCTCGGTCACATCTTTGAGGAGGTGAGTCGTTGCCGATGGACTGTGTAAGGCTACCTGCACGCGACTCCCCCCCCCCACTCAGCAATAAGTACATAAAATACAAGCTATTCGATCGGCGAACATTTGCTATCACGAGGGGGGGGGCAAACTCTGGGACGGTTGACATTGGCAATTCCGTTCCACCTTCAAAAGGTCGCTGAACCCGCGTCCGGTGAGGTGGAAAAGCTTGTGGGGCGGATAGCCTCAGTGATTCAGTGCTGCGTTGGGGCTCAAGCTTTGACACGCCTCCTGCGTTACTTACAATACTTACAACCCCGCTCGTGTGTCTAGCTGCGTCCGCTCTCCATTGCCGAATCCAAGGCTGTGGAATGCGCCTTGTCCTGCCAGCATTCTTGATAGAGCAAGTGATCATCCACACTGGGATGCAGGTCCTTGATTTCGACGTCGGCTTGATACTTGACCAAGAGACGGCATTCCATGGCGCCTGGCGAGGCTCCGACGTTGACATCCTAGCACGTCACTGCACTGCAGCTTCTGGAGCTCTTTCGCCCCGAGCACCCCCCCCAACCTCCTTGAGAAGCTGCAATGTGTAGTGGCGTTTGCCCCTTCATGTTTAAAGAGTTGACCTCGGAAGTTGCAGGAGCCATGCTCTCACGCCGAGGAAATTCTCGATACGGACAGAAACCACTCAAGCACAAAACGGCTTTGCACAGCCTCATGACCAACAGATCTTTAATCTGAGCAACTCAACAGACTACTTCTTCAGAGGCACGTCGGCACGCATCATCAGCAGCTTCATCACCGCTGCTGACTGCGCCGCAAGGATTTCACTTGAAGCAAGGGCAGGTCAGCAGTTCAGTTCGGGCGGCTTCTTCTCTCAGAATTCAGGTGCACGGGACAAAAAACTGACACTATGACTTTGCAGAACCAAAGAGGCTGCTTCGCAAACCTCCCAAAAATCCGAAGCAAAAAGCCCGTGCCCTTGACAGACTTATCAGTCTCCTGCTTGAAGAAAGCCGCTTCATGCAGAGCTGTGTAGTTGTCCTGCGGCTGCCAGGAACGAAGATGACTACGTAGCATCTGAGGCCGCTGCCTTGCCATCAAAGCGGGTCTTGGCATCCAGGTCCGCATCTGCCTGGCAGTGGCTCGGAGATCTCAGCGCTCCAAGTGCTCCAAGTCCTCTAAGTCGAAGGGGTCTTTTGACAGAACACACCAAAGGCACGAAATGAAATCTGCCCTCACATTCTGATATGTTCTGTACCTCACCCAGAAAGTCCAGGAAGGCCGCATGGCCCACACCAGCGGCCAGATGAAGCGCCTGGCAGGTTCCTCAGGCCCGGGCCGCAGGCGGGCTGTAGGGAGGCTTGTGGAGACTGCAAGCTTCAAGTTCAGGGCTTCCAAACTTACCAGAAACTCCCCCAAGTCAGGGTGCCCATCTTGTTGTGCGCGATGAACCAACCTTGGCTTCAGAGCATTACGAGCAAGGGCTGTAAGGCCTAATGCTATGCAATGCTGTGCATGTGCTTGGACTGTCATAGTGAGTGCCGGCCAAGGCTCATTCCTCGGTGAGGTCTACATAGTTTACAAGCCACTCCAAGATGGTAAAAAGGCCTGGCAGTAACACAAAAAAAAACGAAGCAAAGACAAAATCAAAGAGACGAGACTCTTGCCACAAGAGGAAAGAAGGCGAAAGAGGAGGAAGTTCCCCCCCGCACCCTGAGGAGTGCCGAAAGGTGCACCTCCTGCCGCGGCGAAGTGCCCCGAGGACCGGCGAAGCGAGCCACCGCGCCCCTCCTCGAAGAGAAAACAGACAGAGAAAGAGAGAGAGAGAGAGAGACAAGAATGAATAACAGCAGAGAACAAGAAGAGAGAGAAAAAAAAAAGAAGGCATAAAACAAAAACAGAGAAAGAGAGACTGAGAGGCTGAGAGGCTGAGAGGCTGAGAGAGGAACTGAGAGACTGAGAGAGAGAGCGAGAGAGAGAGAGAGAGAGGAGGAGCAGAAGCTTTAAGGAGATGGGAAGGTTCCGATTAGAAGACGCGGGCGATCCTCGTGCACCGCCAAGACGTGCAGCGCATGACCATGGATGTCCCGGGCCTCAAGAGATCTCGCAGAAGAAACACGCCACCGCAGAGACCACACAGATCACACAGAGTCGGCCTTGAAACGAAAGCGGTAGGAGGCTTGGATGAAGAAGTAGAGGATGAGCCTTCGAAGGCTTTGCAACCCTCAATTCTTGGTCAGGATCGCAGGACGGGAAGTCAGATGAATACCATCAAGCTCAGACCCTCCAGACCGAGACCTGAAGCTATAAACAAGTAGAAAGCAGGAAGCAAGTAGAAGCACGTAGAAGCAGGTAGAAACCAGAGGACATCGACGAGCCTGGCTCGTGCAGACTTCGGACCACCCACTCGCCATCGAACCTGCAGACATCAGCAGACGCACAAGCGGCCGAAAACAAGGTTGCAAGGTAGAGATTCCTGAGAAAGTGTACCTAATGTTCGAGAAAGTCTCAATCCCTTCCCAAGTGACAAGCAACGCACAAGTGGATCGCGATGGATACAGTGCCATACACTACATGAGACCGCATACTTGTGTAATTCAAGCGTAATCAGGCCTCCTGCAGCAGCTTCAAGCCCTGGTCTCCTAGCTTCTGAAAGCCCGGCTGGCCTTGAGTTGGGGTTTTGTGCGGTTGTAGAATCGGGTGAATCAGGTGTTCGCTGCACCCAAGCGCATGTCTGCTAATGTCTGTGGCGATCCGCACAAGTAAACAACACAAAGACGATACATGGAAGACGAGAGCTGCATTGTTCAGGCTGCGTAGGTTTTCTACCCCAAGTTTTGGCACTCTTCGACCGGGTTGCCATAGACCTCAACGGCCTGCAGCCATACGCTTCGGCCGCAGGCACCATTTGCCGGGACTTCCTGTGGTTCGACAACCTTAGCTGACTAGAACAACTTTGAAGTTTCATGAGATGGTGGGATATGGCAGGACATGTGCTGTTCCGCATCTTATTCACATGTCCAGGTGACTGCAAGTGTGGGCTCTGACATTGAGGGAGCCAAGGTGCTGCTAAGTCATCCAAGCAGAACTCGTCTCCACTTAGAGGAGAGTCCATTCCAGCCAACTCCCTTGCCATGTGCAATGCATTGGCTACTGAACTCCGTCATGCATTGACTGCTGAACACCATAAACTGATGTAATGATGATGAATGATGATGCTACGATCGGACTGCTTTCAAGATCCATCGGAGAACAAGGCTGAGTTGAGCTTTTGCTGAAGCACGTTGATGGATGTTAATGGCTAAGATCTAGGCCGCCCCCAGGATGCTTCAGAGCAGCCCCGTACCAAGATGCTGGAACCCCTTGATGCCATAATGGCAGCGAGGACTGCCATCGGCTGGGAGGCTTGTTGGACCTTGTGAGGGCGGCTGGGCGCGCCTCTGCTGGTCATTCCAACGACCTGCCAGCAAGAAAAAGGTAGTCTCGCAGTCTCGGCCCACAAGGATGGGAAGTGGAGAAGGGATCATCACGACGCTGCAACCGAAACATGCTGAAACTGGATACCACGGTTGTCTACGACATTTCAGCTCACCCATAATGTCACCCATATGCAGCAACGAAGCACGCCTATCTCGCCGTCGTCATCAACGCGCTGTACCTAGCAGCAGAGGAACCTATTTGTTATGAGGTCCTCAATTCACAAGCCGTGGCAACACACACGAGGAATGAAATTAAGCCATTGTTGCCTCAACCCTGCCAGACAAGCTTTACAAGAGACAACACAAAGCCTGCTCGGAAAACTGCTCCCCAAAGCCTTCCTAAAGAAGAAGCAGTGGCAGTGGAAGGCAGCATAACTTCATAATGCGTATTCACATGATTGCATGATGACCTGACAGCTCGCATGGCACCACTGCTCCAACGATGCTTTCAGGCTTTATCCCTATCTTCGTGCAGCATGAAATGGCGATGATGAAAGAGGTCGAGGAAGATGAGGAGGACATGGTGATACAAGGTATAGGCGGATACTGCTTACAAGTATCATGTGCTACGAATGGCAAAAGAGAAGCGTGCAGACGCACCTGCGTGCAAGGAAACGGCGGCATGCCGGGCTTCGACTTGTCAATGTCAAGCGCCTCGGTGTAAAGCCCAAGGCCCTAGCGGCCCTAGCGGCCCTAGTGGCCCTAGCACTCCGCAACCCGGCTGAATTAGATTGGACAGAACTCGAAATAGGATGGAAGAGGGCAAGAACCGAACACTCACAGCCCCCACGGACTCAGTGCGCCTCTCAGCTCCCAGTTTTGACGATAGTCTGCCTACGGACGCGAGGAATCCACACCTTGCAGCACAAGGTGCGGTCTCCGTCGATGTGCCTTGCCATGACACTGTCAATATTGTCAATGCACCGCTTGAGACCGTGGAGTTTGCAAAAAGCTCACGAGTGAACACCACCAGGTCGAGCAGCCGAAGTGGAGACCAAGCCTTGGCGAGAGCCCCGTCAGCCGTCAGCTCTTGAATTTCGAGCCCACAGTGGCCTATAGTGCCATAGGAGACTGCTCTTACATTGCAGTGGGGTTTCATGATCCCAAAGGGTCCATGGGGCTAACCTGTGCATCGGCCGCGAACGGGCCACTATGAAGGTGTGAAGGATGCAATCCAAGTCTTCTGCATGTGAAAGAAAGCCGGGTACTTCTGCTCCTGAAACCCGCAAAGGCAAAGCAGGTAAAGGCGCCTTGTGTCTTCAGAAATGACAACGGGCACGGCCACGGTGTAGCCTGTGATGAGCCTGCGCGCCGCGCCTTGGCAACAAATCAGGATGCGCATAGCTGAACCCAGGCATAAAGCCGGCATAACCACGCGCATGCAAACGCGGCGCCCGTGGTTCTGAGTCTGACAAAGAAATGCAACATCCAACAGTCCGGGGATGATCTGGGATGTGGACTGTTTTCGAACCTCAGCTCCACGGCACAATGCGACAGCCAGAGAACACACCATAACGCACCCCCAGAACAAAGGTCCCTAAAATGCCAAAGCCGAACCCAACACAGCCCAAGCGTCACGAGCCAGAGCGTAAGCAAAAAGCTTGAAAGCATCGTCCTTCTCAGACACCCCTTCTTGCTTGCTGAGCGTCTTCTCCTTGATGTCCTGTGAACAAGATCAGTTTGGGCCACTTCCAGTCCGGCGAACAAAGAATTGCCAAAAAATGCTCTGCCCATGTTCATGCCAAGTCTGGCTTCGCAAAGATCTGGCCAACAAAACATCTTCCACCCTCTTCTCCACGAGCCTCGAACGCTGCCTCCACGAGGTGCTTCTCGTGTGGAGCAATGGCAAAGTTGGCGTCTCCTGGGCATGTCAGAACGAGACACCAACAAACTGAAGATTTGCTTTGAAAGGTGGCGAACCAGCAACAAGTGGCGATGCGATCTCGGTGAAATAAAAGCAATACGATTTAGATACGATCCCCGCCACGATGTGGCATCACTGCAATACACTTTCCAGTCCATTTATGATGCCATTGACATACACCCAATTGTGGATGGCTCTCACCATCCTGCACTCACATAAACTGCTGCACCCGCCACTTGTTTGTTGCACAAGTGTTGCACAGCCGACGTGTGCGGCCTCAAGCCCTAGGCCCGCCCTACCACCAACGATTTGGACATGACACGTTAGAGTCTAGACGCGCCAAGCAGGGTTTCGAATGGGATGCAAGATGCGGTAGGCCAAAATTTGAAGAATAGAACACCCCTGCGAAAAGAACCGGTACCCCCAGCACCCCAGCACCCTCCCCTCCCAGCACTACCATTGAGGAAGAGCACCTGCGATTTGCCAACGAGGTTGCATGACCACAGCTACATGTGCAAGAGAGCATGGGGGGTACTGCCATGCCAGAACCACTATCCTCAGCTGAGTTTCGGCCTTCCTCCTCCTGCCTCACCTCAGGCAAGAAGAAAATGAAATAAGAAAAGGCAGAAGAGTACATCATGTCAAGGGACTATTATTTTGTAGGGGAAGTGATCAATGGATCAATGAGGGTACCAGGTTTTGCGTGCCTCGGCCATCTGGAATCGCCGGGATTCGGCGGCGTGGACTAGGATCTCCAGATGCTCCATGACCTCCGGAAAGGGCTTCACAGGGGTGGTGGCGAAATGCCCCAAAAGCAGCTTGCAGCAGCTTGCAGCAACTTGCAGCAACTTGCAGCAGGTTGCTGCCTACAACACCGCAGGACTCATGTGGATTATGTCGGCGTTCGATGTTCAAATCAAAAGCAGCGTCAGAGCACCCCGGAAGCACCTCTCGGTCTCAGATCACACCGCAGCTGGAGATGGTGCGGAGACTCCGCTGGCACCGAGTCCATCACGAAACCCTGTAGGCTCTACACAGTTTCTTTGCGTCGTTTTACTAGTGGCTAGAACATGCTAGGACCTTGGGCTCAGGGTTCAGGGCCTTCGATCTAGGGTCAAAGCTCTTGAACAGCCCCTCACCGAGTCGAAGTATTAGCCATGGTGAATGTCCCGAGATGTCGCGAGCAATGCCTGTCTTAGGCAGCCCTTCGAGCAGGCGGGCAAGCCAAAAAACAAATTGCAGACAAGCACCCCGAAAGAGGATTTCTCTCCCTTGCAAAGCACAGAACAGTCCAACGTATATCCTCAGCTACAATTGCCATCGTGTCAGACGGCTGTTCCTATTTACAAATGAGGCGTGCGCAGTGTGCGTATTCTTACATAGCTGACGGTCCAATCCTCGAGACCCCTGAGGCTCGCAAGAAGATGCTCGAACATGCTCGCCCCGCTCAAAAGAAGTGATTTGCACCTGGGGGTCCTTGCGATACTTTCCGGCAGCAAGAACAACGCAACTGCAACGCCAGAACACTGCCAGAACAACATCGCAAGGCCTGATCTGCCAGCCGCCTCTTCGCCATCTCGGCGCTCTGGGCGGGCACCTTACACATAACACGCCATAAGAGACGGCAGTACAAAGCCCCTGCCCTGCCAATAAAGCTCCCAGAAAACAGGGCTCGGAACGGTTCGGCAATCCGATTGGATCTGTATGCACCGGAGTATTCGGAGCAGCAAACAACTGGAGTGATTGGAATACAAGGTCAAGCAGCGAAGAACTCGTTAAGGGTTGGGGGGCTGATGTGGATTGCTGAATAGCTTGAGGCTGAGCGGGTTTGACGGAACATGATGCACATCCCTCACGCTACACTATCTGCAAAGGCGGTGACTAAACGTGACTTCTCTTATATGCACGTGCACACACCAGAGACAAAGTTCCCTCACAATCGACGGCATGTATACAACTTTCCCACAAAGGTCTCTTCAAGCAAGGAGGGGACGAAGGGACTATGGCACCGTGCAACACATCGCAAGAAAGACACTAAACAAATGCCACATAGACACATGGCTACGTGTCCGAAAGACCTCAGTCCGGTGCCTCAAGCCCGCCCTGGAGACCAATGCGGACGTGGCACAAAATGGCCCCCTGGAGCCAGTGCAACAAGCGCGCTGGGTGGGGCCACCTCAAACCGCAGGTTGGCGGCTCGTGGGTATTCTTATGGTCTTCTTGACTTCAGGGCTGACAGCTCGGATAATAGGCTTCAAAACTATGTACTTTGTTTGAGGAGCACAAACTACACTGAGATGCGGAGTGTCAATTCAACAAGTGCAGCCAGGTGTTCAATGGTGTTCAGTGTTCAGTTCGTCGAAGCATGTTGACACGAGATCGTTTTTGCGAGCGGCTGAGATCAGCTACAAATGGATCGCCTACTCCTCTGGGGGCCACGTTTGAAAATCTCAACTCTAAAGTGGTAACCCTCCACTAGATTTCGAACACACGTACACACAGCTGTAAACATCTGGCACTGAGCTGGAACTGGGGTCGAAGCCTGGCTGCCACCTCCTGAATGCAGGATTGGGCTTGTGCAGGTTTGGCCGGTTGAGGCGAGCCCTTCACGGTTTGGTGATGTTTGTCTTTTTGTTCCTCATGACTTGGGTCTAAGGTGGCTCTGCAATGTCGACGTAGCCCATGTTCCCACGTTTCCCGCGTTTGCCACGTTTCCCACGTTCCCACGTTTCCCACGTATCCACTGTCTGCTGCGAGGATGCCACACGGCTGGCCCTACCATGACTCTAAAGCGACCAGAAAAACCGAAAAACCGAAACCTGGCAGCTCTCCACACTTCGGTTGGCTTTTGCCTCGGCCGGGAGGCGGCGACCGGGACCTGCAAAACAACAACGACAAAGGCTGAATTACCCGCCACTGCAATCAATTCCAAACGCGCTGAACATCGAACTTCCCGAGAACAAAAAGAGTCTACAGCAAGCCGTGGAATACAAAGACAACAAGAACGCAAGCCACGAGCTTGCAAAATCGCAAAATCTTGCTAGCGTGAGGCTCTCAGTGCAAGGCAATGCAAGGCAGTGCATGGCAGCGCAGCGTGGCCTGGAGCCCTTCTCGTCTGGCGATGAGCCCACCCCAAGCTGGCTTAAAGGGCCGAGGCCCAGCCTGAGCAGCGATGGGACAAAGGGACGTACGGCGACACCCGGACACACACACATTCGTTATATATTGCAGATCCAGAAACGCGCAAGAAGAAACGTGGAGAACAACTCGTAATTAGATGACATTGCAGCCATGAAGTCATCAGGTTTCCAATGGTCTCCAACAGCCTCATATTCGATAGCCTTTCGGCATCGATGTTAAGGCCCCTTGGAACCTGTAGAAGCCGTAGGCACAGGACCGCGGGTATGTTTCTTTTGAAGACAGGTATCCAAGTCCCTCAAAAAAAACAACTCTGCTTCAAGGACATGCTTTCAAGTGAGGAAGGAACTTTGAGGCCATCATCAAGCGGCGACGCTGGTCCATGGTCACCCCCATCGTCCTTCAGGTCACGGAATGTGCAATACAACACAAGCTATTCCAGATCAGAAGGAAACGAACTTATAAATATAGACGAAGCCACCCAAGGCGCCAACTCTTTGCTTGCACTCATGGATTGCCTGTGCTGGTGTCGCACATGGCAAGACAACAACAAGAGACTCCTGAGTTTTTCCTCCGTCTCCGTCATCCAGTGTCAGACGAATCCAGAGGGAAAACCTTGGTCATTCACAAGTTTTTGGGGATGATGAAATGAATCAGCGCCAACACGTGCAAACAGAAGCAGCACTGTTGGTGAGTCCTATTTCATGCACTGGAAACATGCGAAACCTATCTTCGCCAAACTTTGCTACTGCTCGAAATTGAAACCAAATGAGGTCGCCACACCCACGAGCTGCACCAATGCGCTCACGTAAACAGCTCAAACGGATGGCAAAACAGCAAATAGGTAAAATATGTCTATATATGTGTTCTGGAGGAAGATTTTCCGAGCTGCAGTACACGGATATTTGATGATGTTGGGCCTTGTTCGGCCTAAGGGCCTAAGGATGACTGCCCACTTTGCCAACACGCATAAACTGAACCCACCAAGCAAAACACTTGTACGACAAAGCTCAAGATTTTGTACCAGTATTTCGTGGAAGATGAACATGTCCGATCATCGCGGAATTGCGAAACGAACCATCGTGTTTGAGCCGAAGGCTTCCACCGTGCAATTGCTGGCATGTATTGGAAACGTCATGCAACATCACATTCCCACGCAAAGCCCAAAATCACGAATGATGAGCTTGCACCATCTTCTGTGAAACGTGCAATGCAGCCGCACAAAAATCGGATGCTTTGATGCGACAATCCTGGTTCAAATCCTGGTTCATTCTCGCAGAAAACCGCACAAGACGCCGGCGGTGCGGAGCAATCTCAAGTTGAACACATGCCTGATTGACATGTGAATGTGAAAACTGGGAGCATGGAATACGACAAAACAATGACGACAAAACCACATATAGTGGTGAGCTTCAGGAAGGCGAAATCCTAAATACCCCTCGTACAAAATAGCAAACAAAAGGCTTTGGGCTTTGGGTTTGTGTCACTTAGGATCGCTTCTCGCGCTCTCACCAAACAGCACATCATTCGTTCACTTACCTCCGCAAAGAAATGGTCGCTCGCTCCGAGCACTGCCATCCAGGTCTTCGGCTCACCTAACGCTTGCGCGGCTTGATGGACCCAAGCCCCCCCCTATTGTTGGGTCATGCTCGATCCACTGACACTACCACTGACGGACCACCTGTTCACCAAGGCACTCAAGTGAACATGAGATTTGCAATGGCACGCGAAATCGATCAAAGAGAAATACTGGCACAGTTTAAAAGCATGCTTTCTTCAACACACACACACACACAACAAAAACAACAAACAAGGTCGCCTCCCAGACAGGAGGCAAGAGTGGCTGCTTGTTCCGGACGTGTTTTGCTCAGCAGGCTGTTTTGTATCTACCAGTCCGGGCGCTTGTTGTTGGGACGCGGCTGGCCCAGCAAAAAATGGGTACCCTGCCACTAGCAAAAAATGGGTATCCTGCCACTAGCCCCGGTAGGAGGGGCCATTTTTGGAGACCCGTCGGCTCCCAGCTGGCTGTCACCGCGCTGTTGATTATGATGCGCTGTTAGGCTGCCTGCTCCCCCAGTTGTTGGCGGCTAAGCATGCAGGTGCCAATGTGCTTTTGCTGGTCACGGACAGTAGATCTTTCCTGCAAATCGCGCATTTTCCTTTCTTTGTTCGGCACTTGGTGGCTAGGTTGCAGTGGTTCTGGCGCCCCGCGTTCCTAACACCACAGAAGTAGGATTGAGGGGCGATAAACAGGTCCGGGTCAGGGAATATGGCAAGGCGAGATGTCGGGCTACAGTAAATGAGAATGTTTCTTTTCCTACAGGGTTTGGGGGTTTGGCGACGATTTCTGCTGTCTTATTTCCCTTGCATTCCGAATAGACGAAGTACATTCTCCATCCATTATACATAAAGATGTATATGCAGATTCATTCACAAGCGCACTCACTCTTTTTTTCAATACATGGGGATTGCGAGTCGCCCACGTTGGCCAGGGCTTTGGGCCCAGGGCAACACAGAGAAGTATGTACAACTGTTTCGGTGCATATGACTTCATCGCGAAACGTTCCGCGTGGAAAGATTGTCGGAGCACATTCATCCAGGGCGGGCAGGGCGGGACAAAAATTTCTAC